CACAGGCCCCCCTGGCCCCCGAGGAGGATCTGGGAGGACCTGCCCTGAGCTGGGGTTCCTGCCAGCCGGGTGCTGAGGGGGCAGCTGGCTCAGGGCTGGTCTTAGGTCGCTGGAGGGGACGGCCCCCTCCGGCCTGCTCCGGCCCAGGCCTGAGACCTCCACGTCGATCCACCCACCCACCCGCTTGCCGGCCTGGGCCCCTTCCAGTGGGCCACTCCCAAGAATGGTGCGGGAGGGGTTGTGTGGGACCAGGAAGTGGCCAGGCCGAGGGTCCGGCAGTGTGCCGCTGTGGAGGCTCCGAGGGAGAGGCAGGGAGGGTGGGGGTCGGGCCCAGGGCGAGGGAGCGTTTGAGCAGGGGCTAGTTTGTTTTCCAAGCTCCGTCTGGGGTCCGTCCCAGAGACCCCAGCCCCTGAAGCAGTGGCTGAGGAGGCTTGGGCGAGACCTGTGGGAGGGCTGGGCCTGCGTGGGGGAGGGGTCAGCTGACCAGGGTGGTGTCCGTGACCGCCACGGAGTGGCCATTAGGGCCAGGGTTGCAGAGCTGGCGAGACGGAGGAGCGCTGCCTGGTGTGCCGACTCTGCCCCCACCCCTGTCTTCTCTGCTGGCTTTTTTTGGCCAATAGTGCTGTGACCCCATGGCTGTCTCCCTGGGAAGGGGTGGTGTCCCTATAGCACCCACTGAGCCATGCCTGCCTCCCCACCCAGTGCAGCCTGCCCCGGCCCCGTGGCAGGCCCCCGGCCAGGGGGAGTCCTCAGGGGCCGGCTCTCGGAAGCTTGGTTCCCAGCTTTGCTGACCTCCAGAAGCCACCCAGCCTGTGGGATCCTCGGTTACACCACCAGATGAGAGCGTTCGCCCTGTGCATGATGGCCCTGAGGTGGCCCCTCCGGGCTGGTGGCAGGGCTGGGGGGCGCTTTGCCTGGGGGGTCTGATGGTCCGGGACCCCCGTGCCAGGGGTGGGGTGTGGGGCTCTGGGCAGGTGGGAGAGCCCGGGTCATGGGGCTCACACAGGCTGAGGCTGCGGTGGCTATGGGCCCAGCCTGGAGTCCCCAGGGAGCTGTGGCGCTGAGTGTCCACCAGAGGCCCTCTTCTCCAGCCCTGTCCTGGGCTCCGTGCCCCGTCAGACCACCTGGGGACACCTGACGCCTCACTGCGGGACATCAGCAGGTGTCTTGGGGTGAACTGAGCTGAGACCAAAGGTCAGGCGAGAGTTTGTCGGGTGGGGAAGATTGTCGAGGTGTCTGATGGGATTGAGCAGCGACCAGGAGAGGGCCTTGACCTCGAGACTGAGCACAGTCACCTTCGAGAGTGAGCTGAGACCAAAGGTCAGGCGAGAGTTTGTCGGGTAGGGAAGATTGTCGAGGTGTCTGATGGGGTTGAGCAGCGACCAGGAGAGGGCCTTGACCTTGAGACTGAGCACAGTCACCTTCGAGAGTCACTTCTCTGCTGTGGCTGGACCGGGGCTCAGAGGAAGCAGGGGCTGGGGCGAGGGATGGGAGGGGCGGCGGAGTGCAGGGAGCCTCCAGACCACTGGCCTTGGAAAGTGGGCCGTGGGCAGGACGGCAGGCTGGGCGGATGAAGAGTCCTTCCTGCCCGCCGCCCGCTTCTTCCTGTCTCGTGCCCTGTCTGTCGGGAGCTGGGCACAGGCCGTACCGGGAGTGGCAGGGGAGGCGGCGGCCGGGCCCCTTTCCCGCCAGCCCAGGCCCGCTGCCAGAGGCTTCTCCGCACTGGGCCGGCGAACAATGGGGCAGTGTGAGGGTGCCTGGGAACGGTCAGGCCAGCCAGGCCCCCCGTGGGCCCGTGCCGAGGGGCGAGGACGGGGCCAGTGGCCATGAGTCATCTGGTCCAGCGCCGAGGCCCGGGTCCCCAGACCGGGAGGAACACGCTGCTCTCAGTGACCCAGCCGGCCGGCGGCCTGCCCCGGCTTCCCGCTTCTGCCCTGCCGTCCGCCTCTTCCTGGTCCTCTCCCTCACTCCCTCCTCCTCGGCCTGTCTCTGTCCCCTGCCTCCGCGAGCCAGAGACTCAGGCCTGGGAGCTGCCTGCTCCCCAGGGCCCTGCCTGCCGCGGCCCAGGCACAGGGGCTGGCCCGTGGCCTGGGTGCCGCTCTCCAGGCCTGCGGGCGACCCCAGTCAGGTAGCCAGCGAGAGGACAAGACCCGGCCCAGATGTGCCACCTCCTGAGGCCAACCTAAAACTGACTCAGGAATAAAAGATGGCCCCAAGTAAAAGACCGTGCGATCAAAACCTCGGTAAAAATTAATCGAGTGTCAAAGAAGAAAAATGCTGGCGAACAGCTCGCCGATGTCGACATCAGGCACAAACGGGTAAGTGGAGTAAACATGAGGCACCTACCCCGAGGACGCTGGAGCCAGTGGACGGGCAGGGACGCTGCGGTGCCGACGGTGGCCTGAGGGCTCGCGGCTGGTGGCGGGTGGGCAAGAGGCCAGAGCCCCCGACGGATGATACACCTGGTCCCCGGGCAGTCAGACCCCTGGCCAGGGGAGCCCAGCAGGCGCCGTACGTGCTGGCCCTGGGTCAGGAGCCCCGACCCGGTGAGATGCTGTGAAGTGCCCAGGAGCCGTGTGCCCTGCGGGGGCCACCGTGGCCCGGGAGACAGGAAGGAGACAGTAGTGGAACAGAGGGCAGAGCCGCCGAGGCCACCGCTGCCTCAGAGGTCGAGGCCGGTGTCCCCGGTGGCCCCCCCCGGGACGCCCCGGCAGGTGGCTGCCAGTGTGGAGGGCGCGCACAGCAGACAGCAGGTGTCCGCACAGTGTGCTTGTCCTGGCTGACCTCTGGCCTCTGCCCTTGGCTCCCACGAGGACCAGTGGGGCCGGATCTCTCTGGCCGCCTCTTCCACCCCCACCCCAGCACGAGCTTCATGGCCTCAGTATCCCCACCACGTTCCCTCGTCACCTCACTGGGCTCTAGGGCGAGCAGGGCGCCCTCCACTCCCAGGGTCCCTGGGACCCAGCGCTGGGCCCGGCGCCGTGGCGGAGTCCCAGTGAGCTGCTTCCTTTGGTCCTCAGGGTGCTATCACCAACAAGCCCATGCGGGCGATGAGAAAGCGAGGCTCAGGGAGTGAAGTGACTTGTGGCAGGTCCCCAGTGCAAGGGAGAGGAGCTGGGGCTGGAGCCCGGGCCTGCACGGTGCCCTGGCCTGGGAGCTCGGCCCAGGTGATCAGCCCAGGTGATCAGGTCCGAGCCCATCCATGCCCAGCGGGGTGCGTGGCCCTGACCAGATGCTGGAATGGACCCGCCTCTGCCCCTCCTGTCTGAAGCACTTGCTGCCTCCTGCCCTGACCCCAGGCCCTTTGCACAAGCTGTTCCTGATCCAAGATACTTTCCACACGCTCTCCCTGCTTGGCCACTTCATGTGGAAGATTCTTCCCAGAACGCTGGCTGATGTGTCACCATGTCTGGGCGAAACGGTTGTCACGAGGACGTGAGTCAGAGGTGGCTGCCTCCCCCGCAGACTGGGAGCCCCAGATGGAGGGCGAGGCCAGCTGGGGTTCCGGGGTGAAGGGTGTGGTGTCTGCCGGCAGGTGGCAGCGCCCTGACTGCCTCCAGCACCGGAGTCTGGGAGTTGGGGTCATACTGTGTGTGGCACAGACAGGCCCCACAGCTCCCGCCCCGCCCCGCCCCGCCCAGCGATGGGCAACGTGCCGACCTCTGGCCTCAGCGTGTCAGCTGCCCAGTGGGTAGGGTCTTCCTCGTGTCAGGGACACTTGAGCCTCTGTCCACACAGCCTGGCACTTCTCACAGTGCTGAGCCCAGCAGCCCAGGGACAGCCTGCGTTCGTGATGGGGAAACTGAGGCCAGGTTCTGCATCTTTGCCAGAGCTTGTTCCAGGGTGAGCACCAGACCCACCCCCAGCCTTGCCCTGAGCAGCGGCGAGTGGGCTCGGTCTGGGGCCCGTGGCCGGCAGAGTCTCCTGACCCGACTCCCTGTGGGCTCTGGGGGTAAGGTCAGGACAGAGGCCAGCTCCGAGTGCAGGAGGACGGGCCGGCACATGCCCGTATCTCCGCTTGGCGTGGCCGCCCCGTGTGCCCTTCCCCGCAGAGCCCAGAGCCGACCTCCAGCTGCCCTCTGGGTGGAAGCCGTGTCCTTCCCACGGGTAGGCCCTCGGGCACCTCTGCCTTCTGCCCCTCTGAGGAGGCTTGGTAGGAAATGGGTGGGATGGCCCCGGGCCCTGGGTCACAGGGCCAATGCTGGCTGGGTGGCCAGGGCTGCGGCCCGCTCAGCCTCACCTTCCTGGTCCAGAGAGCAAAGGTTCACCTTTGGGCAGCTGAGGACTGAGTGGGCTACACAGTAACACTGAAGAGACGTTCTGGGGTGGGCTTCCTGCCCCTGCCCCAGCCCAGTGGCTCGGTCCTCCTGTCACCAGAGGTGACAGAAGGAAGGAAAGTGCCCCCAGCCTTCACGATCGCCCTGCCTTGGCATCCGCAGGTGGAGATGGTGGCAGCCTCCGCTCCTGAGGGGACCGGCCCCAGCCCCTGTCTGGCTGGGGAGGCAGGCCAGGTGCTCAGTGAGCCTGCGCTGCGTGGGCTGGAGTGGTCTCGTGGCCCACGTGCCGAGCACAGTGGCCGCGGGGAGAGGGAGAGGCTGGGCAGCTGCTTTGGGGAAGTCCTGCTCTCTGGGGGTTCTTGTCTGTAGCTGGGTCAGTCTCACTGACTTCAGAGGGGAGGTCGGGCCCCTTCTGGGTGTCCTGGCAAAGGCGCTTAACAGACTTCTGCCCGCCACATCCCCTGGGCTCCTGCGGGGTCAGCTGCGTGGGCAGCCTGGGCTCAGCTGCTGGAGCTCTGGGGTTTGCGGTCTGGGTACCCCACCTGCTCTGCCGGTGAAGGCTGCTGGCCTTGCTTTGTGGGCAAGGACACTGAGACTGGAGGGGGTCAAGGGCTTGGCTGAGGTCACTTCGGGGCGGCAGAGCCGGGCGGCTGTCGTGCAGCCAGAACTCCTCCCCACCAGGGTTGGGAATTAGGAGCGCTTGGGGGCAAGGGGAGTGGTTTAGTTCAGCAAAGACACCCCATGAGCTGGACTGTGGAGTTGGGGTTGTCCAGCTAGTGGGGTGGACGCCAACCGTCCGTGCTGCAGGAGGTACCCAGTGCATGCCAGGCACACTGCCGGGGACGGGCACGTGGGGCGGAGCCAACGTCGAGGGAGGCGCAGGCTGGCATCAGACAGATGGAAAAAGCGGCAGTGGGAGACCCCAGGAGCTGGGGGGCCCTGCACGTGGGCGGGGCCTGCATGGGAGGACGGCAGGGGCTCTGTATGCAGGCAGTGGGGTCCAGCCCCGAGGCAGTGCGGGCTGGACGAGGGGCCGAGGAGCAGAAAGGATGGCGGTCCAGGTCGACTAATCCGCGGAGGGCAAGCGTGTCTGTCACCTCCCCTCGGTGGAATGCTGCTCAGGAGGTGGCCGCGGTGGGCCGGAGGGCTCCGGGGTCTAGCCCTCCCATTCCCGACGTGGCCGTGATGATGCTGTTGCCGGCGGAAACCGGGGGCCAGGTGGCCCCGGAGTGACCCTGACTACCAGCCATGCTGGGGGGCCTTGGGACAGCACCCCCCGGGACCTGTCAGCCCCACTCTTCAGAGGAGAAAACACAGGCCCAGCGGGCCGCAGGGCTGGAGGGGCCTGGCCTGTCCCCAGGGAAGCCTGCACTCTGCCCACTGCCCCGTCCTGCCAGCCAAGGTCATACAGCTGGGCCAGCGTCTCATGGCAGCAGATGTGGACAGATTCCGCTCTCGAGCGTGGCACCCTGTACCCTGTGCAGGGCCTGGGGCCTCGGGGTGCCCAGGTTGGCTGTGGTGCAGGGCCATGAGCCTCTTCAGGCGGGTGGGGCATCCGTGGGGAGGGGCCGGGAACACAGGGGTGGGCCCACGCAGCAGCACTCAGGAGAGTTTTCTCAAGTTATCAGAAGGTGGAGCCTTGTCAGAGTCATGAAGAACTGAAGTGTGAATCCTGAAATGCCTCTGCTGGTTTGTGGTTTGAGGCAGGAGCGACACAGGCCAGCAACTCTGGAGGCCCGCCCGCCCCCCAGGCCCACCCGCTGCTCACCACGGCTTGTCTCCGCGGACAGGGACCCCGCCGGCCTGGGGCCCCGGCCAGCCCTCCTCCCTCCCGACACGGCCGCCGCCTCCGGGGCCGGCTCTGTCCAGGGCTCTGCTGGGGGGCTCTGCTGGTGTGGCCTGACTCCGAGGGCCAGCCCTGCTCCGAGGCGTGAGTGAGGCTGCCGCCTGCGGAGCGTCTGCTGAAGCAGAGACAGCGGCCGGGGGGAGGATGCCCTCGGAGCGCCGCGGGGCGGGCAGGGCATCGGGGACGAGTCCTCTGTGGGGATGGAGCTCGAGCGCCGGGGGCCCCAGAGCAGAACCCCCTCCCCAGGTTAGCCATCACCCGCAGAACCCCAGGCCCTTTCCTGCACTTCTCCTAACTCGCTTCGGCCTCGGACAACGAGTGGCCAGACTGCCTCGGCCTCCATCCCGGGCAGCCAGAGAAGCCCCCGGGCGCCTCCTAGAGCCCAGCACACCTCCGTCTTCTGCGGACGGGGACGCTGGCCGGCTCCAGCGCAGAGGTCCTGGGGCACGGGTGGGCCTCGGCCGCAGGCATGCTGGCCGTCAGTTCTAGCGGAGGACCAGGCTTCACCCTGGCTCTGAGCGACGGTCCAGGCATGTGCTGGTTACAGCCTCGCCGCGGGTTTGGCTGTGCGTGTGGACAGGACACTGAACCCACTTGTCCATCCATTGGTCTGTCTCCTGGCCCACAGCAGGGCCCATGCGGAGTGCTGGGGACACACAGGTGGTGAAGCTGGTGGGCGGGGCTGTGCCACTGACTTGCAGATTTTGGGGCAGGGGCGAGGTTCTAGATGGTTCTGTTCTTAAAGCATAAGGGGGTGTTTGTTGGAGACAGTCACTTTCCGGGCAGAGCAGATTGTATGTTCTGGGACAGGCACATGGTCCTGGAGAGTGACAGGGCCCAGAGCAGGTAGCAGGGGCCAGATCCCCACTCTGAGCCAGGTCGCCGGCATGCCCCTACTCAGGGGCCTGACTTAGCCAAGGGAGGGCTGGCTGGGGTGTGAACAGATGCCAGGGTGCAGACCCGCAGGAGTGGCAGGTGTGGGCCTGTGGGGGTGTCTGACTCCGTGCTGGGCGGGGTGGGAGGTGTTGAGCCAGGCCTGAGCCGGGCTGTGGACATCCAGGGAGGCCAGCTCAGCTTTGCCCCATCCAGCTGGGTGCCCACTGGGCGCTGCCCGCAGGGCTAGCCTCTTCCCGCACGACAGGCCAAGGACTTGAGATGGATGTGAGTGGAAGCCTGCGTTGCGTCTTGGGGAGGACTTTGGCGAGTTCCCATGTGTGTGTGTATAGTTTCCCACGGCAGCTGCAACAAAGCGCCACATGCTGGGGGCTTAAAACAGCAGAAATTTACCTCTCACAGCTCTTGCAAGTCCGAGATCAGGGGCTCTGGAGGACCCCTCCCCCCCCCCCCCCCGCCGCCTCTTCCAGCCCCGGCGACGGCCGGCAACCCTCGGCTCCCTCGGCTTGTGGCTGCGTCACTCCGATCTCATGTCACCTGCCTTGTCTTCTCTTCTGTCTTCTACGAGGCCACTTGCCACTGGATTTAGGACCCACCTGGCAAATCCAGGATGAGATTCTTAATTTAATTACACACGTAAAAGCCTTTTTCCAAATGAAGTCACGTTCACAGTTCCCTGGGGATCAGAACTTGGCTCTATCTCCTTGGGGATCCCCATTCAGCCCACTACGCCGGGTGACCCTGCCCTCTGGGCCCCCTGGTCCCTCTGTCCCACCAGGTGGGGCCCAGTGCCGAGTCCTCGGGGAGACCTGGAGCCCTGAGCTGGAAGGTGGGTTGCAGCCCCATGGTCTGAGAGAAGAATGAGTTTGGGGGTGGGGAGCTGGGCAGGTGGATCTTCGGGCTGACCATGGTGGCCGGGGCCCCATGGGACGGCCGGTGCGTCTCATTTTGAGAGCTTGAGGCTTTCTCCAGAGGGGGTGCCAGCCTCACCCGGGCTCAGCACCCGCCCTGAGTCCAGCAGCCCCTCCTTAGCACCTTCAGTGCCTGAGTCACCCCTGAAGGTGGCAGGTGGGCACCGGGCTGGGCACGGGGGTCTCTGGGTGCCTGTGGGAGAGCGGGGGCCGGGGTTCCCAAGGACATGGTTCCAGTCCCCACGCCTCCGTTTCCTGGCCATCAGCACAGCCAGTGGTCCTCTCTGGACCACAGTGTCCTCACGATCAGCACGGGTGCGGTCAGGAACGGCAGCGCGGTGCCGGGTGTTTGCCTCGCTCCTGCGTGGGCTGCAGACCCCAGGAGCCCAGAGTGAAAGGTTCCTTCCCTGTTTTTTCAGGCCGACCCTTTGCCCCCTGCCCGGCCCTGCTGTCTGGCTTCCAGCCACCCTGGTAAGTGGGAACATGGCATCCCGCATGGTGGGGCAGTCCCTCGGCACTTTTAGGCACCGGCCCTGGGGAGCAGATACCAGAGCTGCCCAGTGCAGGGACCCCAGCCACACCCTAGCCAGCACCGTCTGTCTTCTCATGGCTAGCTTTCTCCCGAAGGCATGGTCTGCCCTCGGCCACCCGAGGACGCAAAGGTTGGCACAGCGGGGGCTCCCGGGTGGCTGAGCCCACCCAGAGGACCACTCAGACACAAAAGCCTCAGCTCCTCGCCTTCCGGGATGTCTGTGGCCCCGAGCTGGCCCCCAGGTGGCACGGGGACTTGGCAGAGGCCTCTAGCCTGGGGGCTACCCTCCTCCAGTGCCCCAGCATGCAGGTATGTGGCCGGCTGGGTAGCTGGCACAACTGCTTATGGGGGCTGTGCCCTAGGAAACCCCGTGGATGAGACTAGTCCTTTGCAACTCCCAGGTGCCCTGTGGCCTGTCACCCTCAAATCCTGCCATCGAGGTAGCCCCAGAGCACTCTTTACTCTGGCTGATCCTACCTGGGATGGATATGACCTTGAGACCCAAGGGTGGGGGAGCGGCAAGGGGTGTGGGGTCTCAGCGCTGAAGGGCCTGGGCTTGAAGCCCTGCTCTCCAGCTTCCTGACTGGATCTGGGAAGGGGAGGGAGCTGGGCGTGGCGGGCCAGAGCGGGCCTGGGCATCAGCATTCTGGGCGGGACCCAGGGCGAGGCCCAGGGCGGGGCCAGGAGTGAGGGAGCTGTCTTCGGTCTTCAGTCTTCGGCACCCAGGTCATAAGTGCTGTCTAGCAAGCCCGCGTTCGCCGCGGCTGCGTCTAATGCGGGAGAGCAGGCGGGAGGGTGATGGGGACATGCCTGGGCCCGGGCTTGGAGCCTGTGTCTTGGTCCCTTGGTGTCAGAGGGCAGAGAGGTGACCACCTGAAAGGTTCCTGGTGCAAGAGGCATAGCCCCTCTGTGTGGCCCCCGAGGGCAGAGCCAGCTGTCCTGTTTGTGGTGCTGGAGGGAGCACTGTGGGGGGTGGTGAGCTCCCCGTGGGGGGTGGAAGCACCAGGCTTCTCAGTGGGCGGAGGTTGGGCCTAACGCCCTGACCCTGAGGGGCGTCAGTGGTTTGCTAGGGAGAAGCCAAGTATGTAGAGGTGGCCACGGAGGGACCTGTGGGAGGCTTCCTCCCAGGGGACAGAGCTGGGCTCTCCCAGGGGCCTGGAGAGCTTCAGTCCCTGACCACGGAGGGGCCGGAAGCAGGGGCTGCTAAAGCCCAGCAGGCCGCAACTGGGCCTTGGGACTCACGGGGCGGCAGGCAGGAAGTGTCGGCTCCCGGGGCTGCCCGGGCTCCGGCAACAGGAAGTCCCGGGGGAGAGGAAGCCCCGGTGGCCTCGGGCTCCAGATGCAGCAGGGCCAGGCTTCGGGCTGCGCAGGGGCGGCTGCCTGTGGGATGTGGTCCGCGGCCCCGACCCGTGGTCTCTGAGCCACATGGCCGCACTGGGCCCCGGGACGCCTGTCCCCAGCCCAGCGCCAGGCAGCAGAGCTATGTGCTGGGTCTGTGCCATCAGGTCAGTGGGGTTTTCTGCATCGGTTCTCAGGAGGCGGCGACAGCCCGGTGCCTGCAGAACCACCTGCGAGGCCCTCCGTGGGAGCTGGGGCCCTCGATGGGGTCACAGCGGGGGCTCATGGGTCCCTGAGCGCTCAGCCTGAAGCTGGCGGGGGCTGGGGGGCCGGAGCCTGCTTCCTGGGGCGAGGGCCCAGGTCGGAGGGAGCCTCCTGCCATACGCCCTGACGGGGTGGCCTTGGCGTGTGGGGCCTGGCCCAAACGTGTGTGCGCGCGTCGCGTGTGAGCGTGTGACTGCGTGAGTGTGAATGTGTGTGTGAACGTGAATGTGTGCGGGTGTGCGGGTGTGCTGAGGGGCAGCAGAGCCGTGTGACCTCTCGCTGCCTGCCCAAGGAGCGCGGTGCTCGGGGGGCCTGGCACGGAGTGAGGAGCTGGGGTGTCGGGACCCGCCGGCAGCTGGGCTCGCCCTGCGAAGCCTGGCCGGTGGCCCTCCCTCTGGCCTGGCGGGTCCCTGGCCTTCGTAGATTTTTGGTTTTGATTCTTTCGTAGACAGAGATTCTGGGAAGAGGAAGGGGAGGGAAAGTGAAAGGGGAGAGCGAATGAGCTGGCGGGGAGGCGCTGGGCCCCCCACCCCACCCCCCGCCCCCGCCCGAGTGCCCTCTGCGTGCCAGTGCCAGACCGTGCCAGTGCCAGACGGGCCGTGGCTGCGCCCACTGGGAGCGAGCACTCCCCCCGACTGGCTGCGTGACTGGGTGAGTTATTCAGCTTCTCTGACCCTCGGCGTCTTGGTCGGTGATGTGGAGGTGACACCGGTTCTCGCCTTGGAGGGTGTTGGGGCGATGGCACGACATGTCCCCGAGCAGCACAGAGCTGGCCCGCGGTGAGCGTCCCGGAGCCCCCCCCGGCCTCAGCGTCCCAGCCTGTGAAATGGGAGTAAAGCCCCGAACTGGCGTGACTTCAGGTCACGTGGAGCTTGGCGTTGGGCCGGTGTGGGCTAGGGGTGGAGGCGATTCTGACCTGTGTCCAAGCTGCCCGCCCAGGGCACGGGGGCCACCCATGCAGGTTCCTGTTAGCCGCTGGAGCCTGTGCGTGTGTGCGTGTGAGCGAGTGAATGAGTGTGTACACATGTGTGACTGGGTGTGCACGTGTGTGAACAAGTATGCGGTGTGAGCGGGTGCACGTATGGGTGTGCATGGGAGTGAGCGTGTATGGGTGAGTGTATGAGTATATGTGAGTATGGGTGTGTATGAGTGTGTGCTTTCGTATGAGTATGAGTGTGTAAGTGCATGCATGAGTACGATGAGTGTGTGGATAACTACATCGGGGGGCCTGGCCTAGCCCAGCCCCACTGCACCCCGTGACTTCCACAAACGAGCCTGCCTGGTCACCACTGACAGGAACCCCTGACACTGCGGTCACGCGAGACGCCAGCTCCCTCGCCACAGCCGGGGCCGTGTCTGCAGGTGTCAGGGAGGAGAGCCCGCAGGAGCCCAGCCCTCCGGGCCCACACCCGCGCACACCCGTGCACACACACTGGTACGCGTGCAGAACCCACATTCGAGCTGTGTAGCTGTCGCACACATCCTGTCTGCATGCCTGTGACCCTGACCGGTGGGCAGACCCGCAGCTCACACGTGGGCCCGTGCATTGATGACCACCCCACTCCCCCAGAGCACACAGCCCCACGGCAGCGGGGACCACAGAGCCTGCACTTTGTGGGAGTTGGTGGCAGCTGTCTGTGGGATGGAACTGTTTCCGCCTGCCTGCTCTGCCCCCACCCTGTACCTCGGGTCACCTGGACCAGTCTCAACTTTGAGAGAAGGAGGAGGATGAGCACAGAGCAGACACCGAGAGTCTATCCATAGCACCTGCCTTTTCTAGTGCAAACGTGTGCACACATACCTGCTGCAAGGGCTCACGGAGCCCAGCAGCCACCACCAGGCCGGCCAGCCGACACCGACCTGTGTCCCCAGAACGTGTGTGTCCAGGCAGCCCCTCTGAGCTCACAGCGCAGCAAGCCTGGAAGTGAGCGCGGACTCTGCTGCCGGCTTCCTGGGTGACCTCAGGCCTCCGAAGGCGGGCGTATCGCTGTGCTGCTGGGTGTCGGGACACTGAGGGGCAGATTCTCAGTGCCCACAGTAAACCGGAGGAGGAGGAGGCCCAGTGGTGGACGGGCCTGGCGGGATCTGAACCTAGGTCTCCGGCACTGTCCCTGACAGCTTTCGCCAGGTGGCTCAGTGGGCATGGTGAGGGGGCCCCACGGGGCTCTGTCCCTGCTGATAAGGGGACTGAGGCTTCCTGCACTGAGCTGGCCGGAAGGCCTTTGGGGGCCCCTGAGGTGAATAGAGGTTAACCATTAGGTCACTGGGGCTGGGGTGATGCCATGGGCACTGAGGCACACAGTAGGGAGGCCAGGCAGGCCAGGAGTGTGGGCGCCCCTTGAAGACTCCCCTCAACTTCCCTGGGCTCCAGTAGAGCTGGTATCTGTGAGCTGGGCCGAAAGTCCCCAAAAGCTATGTGGTTACCTTGGCTACCACGACCTGTCATCGTCCTCACCCTCGGCTACCACTTCCCCCTTTCTGCCCCAGCCTGGCCTGGCACTGGCCTTCTGGTCGGGTGCCAGCCCACCTAGCTCACCCACTGGCGCAGGGCAGGGCCAGTGGTGGCCAGAGGATATTGGGGTGTCAGGATGGGCTTCCCTTTGGGGGTCCGTCCTGTGGAGAGAGGGGCTGCGGATGTCGGCATCTGTCCCTGGAGTTTGGCTAGTCCCAGGGGAGGCGAAGGCAGAGCACAGCCTGGCCCCATCACAGCCCATCCTCCCCACCCAGAGTCAGTCAGTGGCCACCTAGGAGCCCTCATCGCGCCCACAGAGGGATGGTGGCCAGGTGAAAGTGAGGCCCTCGCAGGCCTGAGCCTGCCTGGCCATCGAGCCGAACGGGAGTGGGGATGTGGGCCACCTTGACTGTTCCCTCAACCTCACCCAGGTGTGGAGCCAGGAGCAGTGGGTTCTGTCCTCAGAGCAGCTGCCCCTGTCCCCGCTCACGTGCCAGGTAGAACCGGAACAGGGGTTCCGTTTCGGCTTCCTGTGCCTTCTATGCAACTGCCGTCCCCAGTGCCCACCAGGGTCAACATTCCGTGCCTCCTTTGGGGCTCCCTGGGTGCCCCCTTTGTGCTGGGCCTGAGCTGGTGAGGATGGGGGACAGTGACAACCTAGTGTGTTTGGTGTTTGGAGGGGCTGTGCTAGCTGCTGGGGGGTGCAGGACTCCTTAGAGAAATAACTCATTTCATTTTCGGATTGTTCCTTGCTAGTATGTAGAAATGTGGCTGAGTTTCGTGTATTAATCTTCTATCCTACCACCAGTCTGAGCTCGTTTATTAGTTCTAATCATTTTTTATGGATTCCTTGGAGTGTTCTATATACATGATAATCTAATCTGTGAAGTTTAACTTTTTCCTTTCCAATCTGGATACCTTTTGTTTCCTTTCCTGGCCTCGTCGAACTGGCTAGAACCTTCGGGACAATGACGAACAGCAGTCGTGAGAGCAGGTGTCCTTGCCTGGTGCTGACCTTAGGGCAAAGCACAGCCTTTCACCAGAGTGTGGTGTGGGCTCTGGGGTTTTCGCAGCCTGTTACCAGGTTGAGGAAGTTTTTTCTTGTTCCTTGTCTGTCGAGTGGTGTTGTTATCATGAAGGATTGCCAAATTTCGTCAAGCGCTTTTTGTTCTGAGATGATCACATGATCTTTGTCCTTTATTCGATTGATCTGATGTATCATACTCACTGAACTGTGAACGTTAAACCAACCTTGTATTCTTGGGTTGAATCCTACCTGGCGTGGTGTACAACCAGTTTGCTGATACTTGGTGAGGATTTCGATGTCCACCGTCATCAGGGATGTTGGTCCGTAGTTTTCTTATGATGTCTTTAGCTTTGGTATCAGGGTGATGCTGGCCTCACATGTGCTAAGTGGAGGGTGGTGGAGGGAATTGAGAGGAGGTGGTGGCCGGCCGCTCGGAGGTGGCGGGTGGAAGGCTGGGAAGAGGAGCCGGTGGCCTTGGACATTGCCAGAGGAGGGACTGGCAAGGGCACTAGGAACAGAGGCTCAGAGGCAGGATGTAGGACTGCAGGGAGCGGTGAAGGCTGGTTGCAGTGGGACGGGGGCCCCTGGAGCTGGCCTGAGGTGGAGGCCAGGACACCAGGGAGGAGAAACCGTGGACAGCTAGGTGGGAGCCGGGCCCTAGTTGTTAGAGCTTCTTTCAGCCGCAGGTGGCTGGTCTGGGTGGCAGCCCACGTGCTGGTGGGAGGTGGAGGCGTCAGAATGCTCGGGAGCCCAGAAAGGGCCTTCGCCAGCCTTTGGCCAGCAGGAGGGTCCCCTGGGAGAGGAGCGCGCATATGCCCAAGCAAGTGGGAGCTGCTGGGGACCAGACTCCTGACCAGGAGGGAGCACGGAGAACAGCAGAGCTGGCCCCGGGGCCTGAGGGCATGCCCGCCTGCAGGGCGCACAGCCAGCTGGACCCACCACAGCCCTCGGAGGCGGAGGCAGGGCGGCCATCGCCCACGTACAGAGGTGGAGACGGGGATTCATTCCCTTTCCCAAGCGCGCCAGCCGTGGGCCTGGGACCCGGGCGCGGGCCGAGGTGGGGCCGCGTTTGCATCGGTAGCTCCTCGGTTCTGTGCGGCACTCTGGACATTCGCTGGCACCCAGTCCTCAGTGGGGCTGATGGGGAAACTGAGGCCCGGCGGACGGGCAGCTCTG